TATGCCCAGCATTTAATCAACTAGCTAAAACTGTGCAATTCGGTGGAAGGCAAATTTTATCGGCGCGTTTGAGGACAGATATCGGTAGCTTGTGCTTACGGAGCTGCAGTTTGTCCTACCAATAAAGTTACGCAGATATTTTCGTGCACGTAGTCCAAATTACCAAGGGCGCATCTTTCAGTGCAGTAATTAGCCAAAACACAATTGTGTCATTGAACTTCGGCCAATTTACGTTAAATCGATATTTTCTTACGAATTCTGCCCACAATGTGCCATCTACGGCCTTTAGTTGCCATAACGCTGCACCTTACTATCCGGACTGTGTCTCGGCCTCGACACCGAGTTCGCGCATCCGGTGAGAAGACGGTCGCGTTTCTCAATGCTTAGCAATGGCGTTTCCGAATTTCATCCCAGCTTTTGGGGATTAACACGGTCTTTGGAGCAAGTTTTCCGGAGTTACAGGAGCCTAAATTTAGCTCCTCTGAGACTTTAAAATCGTGGACGCCGAGCCAGAAGGTTCGAACGGATAAGTTTCGTCGCTGCTCCACATCCCTCGTTCGAAGTTGCGTCCCGCCGTTTTACATGCTGCTGCCTTCCGGTGCGTGATAAGAATTTGGAAGGCGGCCGTGCTACGTGGTGTGTGTTTGTGTCCACGATCGCGCCGTACTTTTAAGCCTGTTAGGGAAACTGCAAACTTAACTCTCGTTTCAATATAAGTAAATGTTTGGAAAACTAGGTAGCCTTGTTCGGTGCTTTTAGCCTTATTTATTTAGTGCGTTTTAACTGTCCCTTACATTTCCCTAGTGCAGAAGTTTCGATATAGGCCCCTATTTTGGAACCAGCCTGCGGCAGGATTGTTAGCTCTATACTTAATTGTGTTTCGGAGAAAGGGATGACTAATCGAACTCGAAAAAGGTATCGGCTTTTGCTATCTGTTTATTATTGTTGCTCATTGAGCTGCACCTCAAACTTCTAATGGAGCGTCAAATAAGCTCGAGCACGAAGGTAATACCATAGCGAATCTATATCTTCTTATGCACGACAGGGGGCTGTCGTGAATACAGACGAGGGTAACCTGATGGGTGCGATAGCTTAAGCCAGCTTTAAAACCATATTGAAGCTCATTTTGCGATTGAACTATGACAAGAAAACGTTCTAGCAAAGCTACTCGTCTCATCGGGATTATTTATTTATTCTTTATTCAATGATTACCCCGCTTAGCTCGAATTCGCTGCAGCAGGGGGGTTACGATGTCGAGAAAAACACATCTTTATTAATACAGCACACTTGTTCATTTGATAAGTGATTCCATTCTCTAATGGAACGAACAAAAACGAATTAGCATACAAATTAGATCTGGTACGGTACTCTAAAATCTTGAAACAATGATCATTTCGCGAAGAGATATAATGAGGACTGTAAAGGTACTTTTCTTTTGAACATTTGCTAGAATGTAGTGTACTTGTCCCGCAAGTGTTGATCAACCTGATAGTAAGAGATGCGTGCATGAGGCCATTTTTAACGAAAATTGCTTGCTTTCACTTTGTGAGATCAAGGATTGCCGAAGAACTCCTAAAATTGGCGCTGGCGTTTTTGGGTAATCCATGGCGATATAGCCTGACATTCCTAAGCTGGTTGTGAACTGTAGAAGCGTGAGTACATTAACTGATTGGTTCCCGCTTGCTGAATGTAGCTTCCTTGGACTTGAGTTTTCGACTTCTAATGATTGCCTATTTCAGAGTGGGTGTGCTGCACGACGTAACCAGGACTATTGGGTCTCGCTAACACCTCCTCTTTAATTTTACTTCCCCCTCCCTCCCAGCGCAGGGTATAGTCTACCGAGTTCAGCCCCGGTTAACCTTCCTGCCTTTTTGTATGCTTATTCTCTTTCTCTCTTCGTGTAAAAACCATTCCTATTCTCCTTTATAAACATGTTCTATTGTTCCTGCTTAATTACATCTAATTCTCTGTGATTTGCTTACTTCACATTTTCCTTTGATATTTTTCCTGCCATAATTTTCTGTGTTTACTTGTTCCTCCCCAGAGAGTACACTTGTTTACTTGTACTCATGAAATAATAACAGCGCGATGAACAATAAGAAGAGGACAGGCGACACACCTCAGAAATGACTAATAACCAAGTGTTCTAGTTCTTTCGAGCGGTATATACGTGGTACTTGAAGAAAATATTACTAGGGTTATGTACTCTAGAATTTAATATTAGCTATATGAATATATACACATATGGTTTATTTAGTGGAATAGAAAGCAAGGTATGTATCTACAATTTTATGGAAACCTTAACTAAACAGCCTGTTTATTGTTCTGTGTATTCGCGTACGCCATAGTGGGTGAATAATTTTGTCCAGTAACTCGCACATTGCTGTATTCTCGGTCGCTCTTTGTATGGCACGCGATACAGAGTAACTTACCGCAGAACAATGTCCTCAGTTCGACCATTCATGAGTGGCTGGACGCTTGTCTTTACGCACGCTCCTTTGGACGTGGTTTAATTGTATGTGAAAAGGATTAGTGCTTGAATCTCGAGCAGCTACACGGCTCAGCCCCCGCCAGAACATTCCCGTTTAACCGAGCACAGTTTTCGTGCGGCCTCGCCTACATTTATTAACCTTGCCTCTCTCCCGCGCCCTCAGAGATTTCCTGTCAATATATAATCTGCTTTATATTGGAAATATAGTTACACCCCCCCCCCCCGCTACAATGGCTTAAAAAGGGCGACCGTAAAGAAAGCGTGAACATTGCTTCGGGGGTACTAATTTCTGAAAAGCAAACGGCTTTACAGCCTTTTGCTTCTGCTTCGATTTATCCTACGTACAGGAAAAAGAAATAAACCTCAAATCTCAAATCTCACATACCAATGTTTGGCGAAGTATTAAATTCTCAGGCTGAATGACGTCACTGGATTATCTCATCTTTCGTTAAATCTGCGACTTCAACAGCACAAGTTCCAGTTCGCAGTAAATGTCCTTCAAGTAACCAACGAAGATTCAAGTTTCAGTTTGAAAACTGCTAGTATAAAATAGTTAGCATCCTGATATCATTCTGTATAAACAATATTTCGACTGTGGCAACTCGTGGCGGCGGGTTCTTCTGGCAGGCGACATAGATTTTGTAGTTTGGTAATGACCGTCAGGCAAATAATGTGAGATCAAGGCTGAGCGTGGGAGAGGAGAAAAAAATGCCGCCATATCCACGAAGTGAATGATGATGAGTGGGCGAAGCTCCGGAGGTAAACCTGGTAAACCATGAATCCTCCGTACATTTTGCCCACTTGATTTTATTGCAACGCTCCCCCTAGCGTACATCGCCGCACTATATCGAACGATGACACGCGCCATATGTGGCATCATTCCTATTTTATAACACCTCGCATCTTTCATAATCAACTACACGTACCGCCGTCTAGTTTATAACATCTTGCATCTTTTGGACGGACGGACGGATGGACGGATGGACGGATGGATGGACGGACGGACGGATGGATGGACGGATGGACGGATGGATGGACGGACGGACGGATGGAGGGACGGATGGATGGACGGACGGACGGACGGACGGACGGACGGACGGACGGACGGACGGACGGACGGACGGACGGACGGACGGACGGACGGACGGATGGATGGATGGATGGATGGATGGACGGATGGACGGATGGACGGATGGATATGGCTTTACCCTTTAGATCGGGCGGTGGCTAGCGTAATACTTAGAACTGAACGAGAGGTGGCTACATACAGGGGACGCACAGCCCATGCCTTAAGGAGCTTCGCTCCTAAAATAAAGCACGCTTTGAGTAAACCACGTTATGATTATGAGAGAAGCTGTAGTGGAGGGCTGCGGAAATTTAATTTTGACCATCCGGTGTTTTTTAACGCATACTGGCATGGCACAGTATACGGGCCTCTACTCTTTGGTCTCCATCGAAATGCGACCGTTTCAACCGGGGTCGCACCCGTTATCTCCGGGTCAGCGTGCGATCATCGTAATAACTGTTCGTAATCCCAAGTAATCTCACGTAATCCCACGTAATCACCAAGTATTACATATATGCATAAAAATTGGGTGACCCTTAAGCTTCGCCTTAAAGAGTTGAACGCGACAGCGAAATCCAGCCCTTAGTACACCCTTCAACTGCTAAGTGCAAACTTATTCATATGTTTTGTTACATGCACATGCACGCACACAAACACGCACACAGCATATTGCACCAGCGTGCGACATTATCGTCGAATGGGCTCGTTTTCGTCGTGACACCCATCGAACAAGATGCGTTGAAGGGGCCCTGAAACATTTTTTTTTCAAGTAAACATGGAACGAATTCACTGGAAGAGCTTATTGCCTCACGAATTCAACGCCGCAAAACTTCAAACAATCCGTCCAGTGTGAGTGGAGTTACAAAGGTTTGTCGCATGCTGCAATTGCATTTTTTCTTCTCTCGTCCCGACGAAAGCGCTGGATGCTAAGCAGGCATGGGTGGCAGGGCAAGGAAACTCCCGCGCCTCGTGACCTTGAGCAATTTTTTCCGGATGCGCGGCTTTCTCAGTGTGACCACGCGCGCACGCATGGACAAGTAGCGGCCTCTCGCAGCTATCTCGGTAACTTGATTTTTGGTCACAGACGCATAGACGATTTTTCGCTCACAACCAAAGGGACCGACGCCGGCGGCGGGTATTGTGCGATGAGCTCTTTAACGCTATCGCGTTAATATGTAGAAGTGCAGCAAGAAAAAAAAGTAAACACATGAGCATTAAAAGTGACTCGAAATTCATGTCATTAAACAGCAACTACCAGTTATTGTACATTGCAATTGCGTTGCAACTTGCAGGCGATCATGTGGAATGTTGAACTCTTCTGTCTCTTATCTGCTCCATCTCTGATGTGCTCCATTAGATATTCACCCAGCTAGAATTAGTGATCTGGCAAGTGCTGTATAAATAGGCATTATATATGAATTAAGCATAACGCATAAAGTGTTATAGTAGGCATCCACATATTTTATTCTCTAAGATAGCTGTCTCTTCCTCCATTCTTCTTGATAGTGCACTGCTGCCCATAAACCAGCGCAGCTGAGAGCTACGGCAGTCATAAAGTAAAACACACCGTCGTAGCTTCCAAGGTTGTCTCGGCAGTAGCCTGCAAAACAAGTGATGCAGCATGCAGTATCCGGTGACAAACAGTTCGTCCATAAAATCCGAGAGCAATAGACCAACGTTGATGCTTTATATTGTAGACGTAGCGAAGACAGGGGACAAAACACGCTGGAAAATCATACCCGAGACTGTTTTGGATATACAGCTTAAAGAGTGCGTTAGAAAACAAATTCAGCGCTAGCAAAAAAAAGTATAAAAGAGACGACACCCTAACGGGCTAACTTCAACATGTTAATTTCCGGGAAACAGCAACCTATTTATCCATGCACAGTGACGCGTCACCAGTTCACACACGAGTCAACCAGAAGGGCTGTCTCTCTCTCTAGGGGTGTGTTCCAATACTCACCGTAGACGGCTAAATAGACAGCTAAATGGACGGCGGCCATCTTAAGTCCCATTTCGATTCTCACGTAGCCGGCAAAATAGACAGCTCCGAGATGAGCGCATCGTACACAAATGCGATGCAGGCTACGTTGCTGTCTAAACAAGATGGCGGCTCTGCGAATCGCTCAAATAGATCGCATCTCGCCGGAATGGTCGTCTGCACACAAGCGGACGCTTCCCCAGACGCTCAATGTGAGTAACGTTTATTTGTTTTTGCTTTCAACACGAAATAGGCCAGAAAATAACACTGTTACGTTTGTTTATTTTAGCTTTTTCTCCTTGACGCGAGGTGGCGCACCATCGCGTAAAATCCATCCAGAAGTGTTCCAATTCTCGGACACCATGGGCTCGGGGCTGTCTTCTAAGCAGTCTGCGTAGACTGTCTACATGCTGTCTAAGGAAGAAAGTTTAAGTCGAAAGACAGGGAGGTTAGCCAGTTCTTAGACCAGCTGGCTACCCTGTTCTGGGGAGAAGGGTGAGGGGAATAAAAGTTGTTAAAAAGAAATGGTGCGAAGAGAGAGAGAGAAATTGCAAAAAAATTGCGACAGAGGAAAGGCAGCATCAAAGAGTATAAGACACTAAAGTCTGTCTCTGAGGCCAGTTGTCTGCAAAAAGCGCAGCAAAGCTTTCAAAGCTTTCTGGGCTGAGGATGGGCTCAATACACGTCTTCATCTATGTGCTTCGCCAGAACCTTGCAAGAACCACACATCGGTGCGCAACCACAACAAAGGAAGAAGACGTTTAATAAGATTGCAGATTAATGTCGCTAACACAAATATTTACTGTATTTTTTCTTTTTTTTTCGTTGATGGTAACTTGTCTTCTGACGCCAAGAGCAAAAGGTTTCGAGCAATGTTGCGCATATGGAGCCTCAACAAGCTTGCAAGGCAGTGGTAGGGGGACTCAAGTGTTGTTACAGATATCGAATGGAAAATTTTTAGCTCAAGAACAAGACATTCACATGACAGTGGGAGACATGGTGGACGCTATTTCCCGTTGTGTGTGCACCACCTGGCCGTATGTCAAATTTTGTAGCTTTGACAAATTACTTTCTGCATTAAATGATAAAACAGGCACTCATCCATGTAGTGCTTAGTAGCGAACTAAATTGGATTAGTGTTCAACGGGGTGTAACTTCGTTAACAGGCGGCACATTAGAAGTAAATTCTTGAGGAGTAAAATAAAAATCGATAGTACGATTTGATGGAAAGATACCTCATGTGTGAGAACAAGTCACTGGTTGGACGAGGCTCCAATAACCGGTACGAGAGATCCTTACCGATCACCAGCGGCCTCTCGAGGAGCGCGAAAGCACCGATGAAGTTCATGATACCCAGACACATGCTGAAGGTCTCTGGATCGGCGATCTCTGCTGCCAGTACGAAGATGTGAGCGACAGCAGCTCCGTTGCACCAGCCGGCGACTACCATAATCGCCGCCAGGGCGGAATACGAGTCGAAACTGGGCATAATGGCGTACGAACACGCACTACCGACGCAGCACGCAGCCATCATGGTGCTCTTTCGCATCGCACCTTTGTCCGTAGCGAGGCCCGAGGTGAACCTCGCAACGAGGTCGGGTGCCGTGATGAGAGTCACGAGAGATACGGCCTCCCATTTCGGCATGCCCCGATCAGCCGCGTAGTCCACTACAACAGTCAGCAACGTCGTGCTCAGGAACCACAGTTGTCCGATCGTGTAGGCTACGATGTAGAACTTCGGCAGTTTCACGAAGGACAAGCACATGACCATTGCATCTCGTCTCAAAGAACAGCGTCTGTTGTTGCTGATTGACTCGCTCGAAAGGTTTGAAGTCTCTTTGTTCGCTCGCGCCGTTGCGCATCGGGCGTCTCTCAACGGTAATGTTTGATCAATCTTGCTGACACAGCACGGATTCATGCGTAGCGATGGATGCTCACCACTCACGCTGCGAAGCAGTGCTGCCCCGACTTCTGGAAGTCGGGGTTTAGTGCAGTCTGTAGTGGTCTTTGATCTCGGAGTGTTGCTACACGGGCTGCTCGTGAGGAGGGCAGCAGCGGTCGAATTGAGCATGACGGCGCCGAAAACGAGGAGTCCGCCTCTCGTTCCGTAGACGTCGAACAGGTACTGCACAAGGGGCGGGAAGAGGATGCCGCCGAGCACGAAGCCTCCGTTGGAGATTCCGGAAGCGAGAGCTCTGTACTGACTCACATTCTGGTTGACGACAGCGTAGCTCAAAGCCACGAGGGATAGACCGCATCCTGCGCGTAAAAAAAAAAAGAAAACTGTGTGCAAGTATTATCCCCGTATCTTGCGATGGCTGAACCACAAAAGCAACAAGACCTGCCCGTTTATCAGATTTGGGGCAATATTTTAGGTGAGAAGTGCCTTATAGTCAAGCTCAATCTGGTGTGCGGCGTGACCACCCTTACTGTGCATGCGGTTCCACCCCCTTACTCGTCTCGCAACTCCGACGCACCAGCGGCTCCTATCCTACGCACTCTCCCCCTCTCCTCTCGGCATCTCTCCCCTTGGCGCTTACACCCCCATTGTGCATGCGAACCTCCCCTCCTCTCCTACTCTTTGTTTTTTTATGAAGGTTCATGTTATCTATTAGGCAAGCACGGTATACAGTCCGTTATCTGCCTACTTTCCTGAAGCGAGTGGTGAGCTGGACGAGCTATCTAAATAAGACAGACTCCGGAGGGGTTCGTTTAGTCAGTGACATGGTCGTGCAAGTTCAAGGGGAAAGTGAGACCGAATGACTTCCTCGCCCACACCCTCAATGCTCGGGCGCGTTTTCAGACACTGCTCTGCAATAAACGCCGTTGCGTACATTACATGTAATCCCGCTCTGCCTCAAATATAGCTGACGAGCTATTTACACTGTCGTTTTTTCCCCTACCTCTCGCTCGCTGTGTGCTGCACCTTATTCGCGATAAAGCTGCAACAACTTACCGTGCAAAACGCCAAGGCTGACGCTGAGGTACGGGACGCCGGTGGCGAAATAGCTGACTGACACCGACAACGACGCCAGGAGACAGCCAAATCTCATCAACCTGCATATGTTGAAGTACCTGGCCAGCACGCCGGAAACTGGACCTGCGCGACAGTGCGTTTTGAAAAGCGCATTAAGTTTTCAGAATAGGCTCGCGAGATGAAGAACAACGTAGTTAATTAATAACACGTGTCAGATTACTATCGTGCCTCATTTAAGCTAAACCTGAAATCCGTTTCTCGTGTACCGTTTCTCATGGGTTCTCGCAAACGGGACAGTGCCACGTGTACTTCATTACGACATAAACGCACTTTATATATCGACGATTTGAACATGATATTGTGAGCTTTTGATGAACCGTAACTTTCTCGCTAGTTCCCTAGACTTTTAAGTCTGCCACATATCGATGTGTTTCGCGAGTAGATAAAACAAAAGAACAGCTTTAATACTAATGAATTAGCCGTGCACTGTACGCGACTCATTGATAGTCGAGAGCATAGCGCTATAGATATAAAGCGGGATGCGAATTCACAAAGCTTTTCGGATGGGTAAGTTCTCATTTCTGCTGGCTAACATGCTTCGCTAGTCATATCTCCAGCGTCCTGATTGTTTGAAATATTTCGCACTAAGTATTCTGTCGTAAGATGTCTCCCAAAACGGGAACACTGAGAATTCAGGAATGCCAGCACGGACAGAACCACGGAAGTACTTAACAGTACGAAATGCGCACATATGCATGAGCTCTGGAATAGAAAACAAAATATGTCTCCTGCCCTGTGCCTAGAAAAGTAGAGTCAGCAAGTTGGTTCATTGTAGATCGTTTAACATTGCAAAAAAAAAAAAGCGGTAGGAATTAAGATAGAGACAACATAGACACTGTCTATGCAATCATCGTTTCCACTTTTGCATACTGTTATATGCGTTGAAAGTAAATGCTGGATAGAAGATTGAAAGTGGTCTCGTTTATTTGGCACTCAAGTTATCGTTATGCTTTCTATCGCTCATCAATTAACGACCGATTTCAGTAATGAACCTGCAAATAAACGTAGTCCCGTGCTGCACGCAACCGTCCACGGCAACACACGATTACATCTACTGAAAAAAATTCCGCCATATCCACGAAGTGAATGATGATGAGTGGGCGAAGCTCCGGAGGTAAACCTGGTAAACTATGAATCCTCTGTACATTTTGCCCACTCGATTTTATTACATCGCTCCCCCTAGCGTACGTCGCCGCACTAAATCGAACGATTGCCTTCAACCAATGACACGCGCCATATGTGACATCATTCCTATTTTATAAGATCTCGCGTCTTTCATCAACTACAAGTACCGCTTTCTAGTTTATAACATCTTGCATCTTTTCATCATCAGCTACAAGTACCACCATCTAGTAAACACTACAAGAACTAAACGAGAGGTGGCTACATACAGAAGACGGTACCGCCATCTAGTGAACACTGCAAGAACTAAACTAGAGGTGGCTACATACAGGCTACAGGGGACGCACAGCCCACGCCCTAAGGAGCTTCGCCCCTAATATACCGCCAATCATCTGTGTTTCGTGAGAAAAGCGCCGTTCGATGCCAATAGCTACACTTAGCCACGTGGATTTCCTCCGCGTGATCGTAGCAATCCGTTCTCATTGAAGTGTGGCATTTACTGCGTACCTATCAACTCTCCACCTATCCCAATCGCATTAGTGATCTTCAATGCTTCGTTTTTCCAAGAAAAGAATCTATCGTCATTATCATCGTCGTTATCACAATAGTGATCGTATCGCCTTACCAGCGGCCAGGTTGAACAGGGTGGCCAAGCACAGCGGCCAGGCGGCGTCCTCGCGCGTCACCCGAAACGTGTTCGCCACGCCGACGTAGACGATGGCACCCGACCGAATCACGGCCAAAGCGAAGGTGTTGATGCAGCAGCAAGCCGCCACCACGAGCCAAGCTCGGCCGGAGTCCATCGCGACAGACACGCCATTGGAGTCTGCGGCTGGCGTGAGAAGCCCGTCGGCCTTGTTTCGCTGAGTACAGAGGGTGTTGAACTTTCAACGAGCTAGACGGATGTCTAAGCGATGCCTGTCCCTTTCTTTTACCCAACGAAAACAAAAGCATGGTAGAACAATAAACATGTTATCTTTACGTCCCCCACGCGCCGTCGTTCGCAGATGATAGTACTCGGTCTTTTCTTCATTTGCTTTTCACGTGGAGCCTATTTAGCCATCTTTAGAACATCAAGGACTCATAAAGTGAAACCGCGGGCTCAGAATCGGATGTGGTAATGCTTAGGAGAGAATGTGGGTCGGAGAGTGCGAATAGCCCGTGTCGAGTGCTCAAGGCCCGTGGGTGCGTACGTTGGGCGCGAAGTCGCGTGCACAGCGTCGATGTTAAACAAGAAGCAAACTCAGGGTCATTGCACGTTCTTCTTGTTCCGTGGCATAGTCTCTTGTTAATAAAAGAACAGCTCACCCACAGTGTTTCTCTGTAGCAACGGGACTTCTCTTCAAATACTATGATGCAAGCACAACCGATGGCTTTTATATAGAAGAGCAAGTGGTTGTAAAGGATTATGTACTCAGTGAATGCAGCTGCGATACCCGCGATGGCCATACAGGAGCATCCACGGCTACTCGATAGCCACCAGTGTTGACCAGTCGCACAACTATAATCTCTATTGCAGCGTGCAGCTTTCAAGAAATTGTGACGGACAGAAAAGATTTTAAATTTGAGGATAATGGCAGTTTTCTGTGCGCAATTACCAGCTCGAAACAACACAACGTGATATAGCGGGGAATCGCTGAAATTCGCTGCCAAGGGCTTAAGGTTTCACATAACCGAGGAGGGGCCCAACCTAATTTGCTCGAGGTTCCTATAACTCGCAAGGACTGCTTGCATGTATGTGTGTGCTGGTGATGAGACTTGTATACTCGCGTGCACGACGACGGAGAGCCGCCCCCTCTTCTTGAAACCGGTCGAGCGTCTGGCTTCACCCTACGGCCTCCCCACTGAGCTCTCCTACGACATTAAGTACTGATGTAGCAATGCATCAGACATCCACGCTTGAATGCAATTCCCTAAAGGTATTGCGTTATATTGTGTAGGGAAGCTAGATATAGTGTTTACAGGCTTGTTATTCTATAGTTGACCTGCACAGCACTTAGTATATTGATTGATTGATATGTGGGATTAAACTTGCCAAAACCACCATATGATTATGAGAGACGCCATAGCGGAGAGCTCCGGAAATTTCGAACACCTGGGGTTCTTTAGCGTGAACCCAAAGCCGAGCACACGGGCGTACAGCATTTTCGCCTCCATCAGAAATGCAGCCGCCGCAGCCGGGAATCGATCACGCGACCTGCGGGTCAGCAGCCGAGTATCTTAGTCACTAGACCACCATGGAGGGGCCAGCACTTTGTATAACAGGAGTGGCAGCGCTTGAACACCTAAGGAGAAACACTTCGGCTTGGAGCACGTCGCAACAGCAAAATCGACAACAGAACGCCCGTTATGAAAAACGCGGATGAAAGTGTTTTCGTCGCTTCGAATTAGTAATGAAGCTGGTCGCACTATGATCAGCTTTTTTTATTCCGTTGCGGTTACCGTGCACTGTAGTTCGGCGCATTGTTGGAAAGTGGCTGAGGTGAGCAGGAATGACTGCCCGTGCAGTGCAGCAGCCAGAATGTTTGACGCTGTGTCGTAATTAATTGTTACCTAAATAATAATTGAACAATTAATATTATTAGTTGGACATTTAGTACAAGCATCAAGCGAGTGGACGTGTTAAGACAGCTTGACGTAATTATTTAAAAATAATGAAAAGCGTCAACATGTAGTTAAAACTGAACACGCGTTTTGTAGCATAATTTACGCGGGTTAGGCGCGATACAGGTGTTGGAAATACATAGATATATCCCGAATAAGCCAGGCTCGACGCGCGCTAATAGATACTGCGCAATCCTGCTTGCGCCGAATGCGCGTCTTCCTCCCGTAACGGGAAGACAAACAAGCGAAGTCAATGCGTTCGTTCGCCTTGGGGGCAAAGCCCAAACGAGCGCCGATACCTGCCCCAGGGAAATCGCGCGTCCGTTTTCCTGGACCGGCGCTGCTCCCGCGGCGTGCAAACGTTGCTGACGAGCTTGCCGCACCACGGGGCTGGGATGCACCCGTTCTACTTCGCCTCTGGGCGAACGAAGAAGAAAGACAAACGAGGCCGGTGTTTGTGACAAAGGAAGAAAAAAGTAAGGCCGGTCTAACCAATGGGCCGGCAAGCGTTTATCCCGTCGACCAGGAAATGGACAGGTCGCGTGCGTAATGATGTGGGTTGTTGCCCGGCAACCGTCCCCACAGCAACGCCGAGATGGGCGAGGAAAAAAAGGGTGGGCCCTTGCATGCGCCTTCGATCTGCCCGCGGCGGAGATGAGCGGAAGAGGCTTCAAACTGCCTTTCTCTTTGCTCTGCGCCCTTCGCGCCCAGCGAGACTGCCTCTCCGCTCTTTCACTTCTTTTGTACGTTCCTATTCGTAGACTGCCCTTGTGAGATAATGTGCAAATCCTACCCATATTCTGGCATCTTTTTTTCCCTCTACCGGCCGAATCCGTATCATTATCCCTTGTATCCTATCCAACCAAGCAACATCTCGGCTGTTGCGTATACCTCGTACTTTGCATAATCGCGCTCGCTTCTTCGTCCACGTCGCTGTTGAAGAGAGATTGAGGTCCTTTTTATCCGCTTCCATTTTTCCGTCTCTCCTTCGTCGTCCTTTATTTTCTGCTTTCTTACTCAATATAGCGAAGCACTCCCATTCTTCGCTCTCAAATATCCTCACGGGCTCCAAGTAGCAGTCGCAGTGCTGGCATTTGGCTGATCCTCTGCTTGAGAAGATTATCTCTCATAACGGATGCCGTGTTTTCCTGCCACTATCAGCGCTGTTGAAACGCCTGCCGTGGCGCTGATTCAACAACTTACGCTGGAGGACGTTGCTACCTGAGAGAGAGAGAGAAAGCTAATAAACGTTTATTAGTACTGTCAGTAACTAAAGTGGGCGGGGTGCTTCGTCCAGAGCTCCACTAGTTATAGCGACTCGCCGGACCTGGTCCATAATTGCCCATTGGCTTCCCAAGGACTTATCCGAGAGTCGCACCTCCCACGACCAGTGTAGTAACCTGTGTGTTTGTATGAGCGTCGAGTTGGCCGCAGCAGGACGCGAGGGACAGCTGTATGGAATGTGTGGAAGCGTGGGTACCCCTCCGCTCCAGGGCCACTCATCTTGATATTCGGAAGGGTGTAGTTTAGAAAGTGTGGGAAGGTTGTGGTACGAGTTCGTCTGTAGATGGCGCCAGTCTCTCAATTGTGCTTTTTTGTAATTTTGGGGCGTCTCTCCAGACATTGACCTTGCTACCTGAGTAACTCTACTCGGTGGCCTTACTTCCTTTGCTCGCTTGATCGGTGGTGGTGTTCCTACAACAGACAGAGCCAGAGCGTTTCAGAGGCTAGTGGCTGTTGTGGTATCGGCGGTATGCGCTGGGGGGAATTCAACGTAGTTTTCTGGTTTTTTTTACTCAACCTGTATAGCTATGCTATATTTAGCGTCTGTTTTGTGACTGCAGATTGGATGTGATGGGCTCCAAACACTGCTGCACTTTACGCTGTGGCAGTGCCAATATGGGTAATTTTAGCGAGGACAGGTTCGCCTGCAGTATGCAACACTGTTTCTGATAGTTGTTTTTTTATATAAGCAATGTGTGGTGGCGGTTCCACAGCACCACGTGTTATGTTCATTGAGAGATAAGTTGAGAGATATGAGAGCTTTATTTTCGTTTTCGATGCCATAGAAACATGTTCGCCCTATTTTATGCTTCCCGTGCACCATCCAAAGTTAAGGTCAAAATGCCAGGGACAGTCCTATACGAGGCTAAGAAACCCCTGAGAACATTGCCATCTCCTCTACTACCGCTACAATGACGAGCCAATCAAAAAAAGTTCGTACATTGTTAAACAAAGCCATTTCACATGCGCTAGAGATGGCGGGCTCGTCTTCTGGTACTACAGGTCACCCACGAATTCACGCAGTTTTTTTATCTTCTTCGCACATTCGGACATCTTGCAACATCCTTCAGGGCAATACATACACGTTGACTTAAACTTGATTTCTTTTTCATATTCAGATCTTATCAGTCTTGCTTGAGCCACAAGGGACGATGAATAAATAAAGAAAAGTGTAACGTTAAGGGCTCGTTTTTCATTGGTTAGGCACAGTATAAATGAGAACTAACAGGCAATAATGCCAGAGAAAGATTGGGGAATGTTATTAGAAGTAATTGTAATGTAGATGTGAAGAAATAAAAGTGGATGAAAAGATAACTTGCCGTGAGCAAGGACCAAAGCTGCGACCTTCGAGTAACGCATATGATGTTCACCAACTGAGCTATACCACGGCGGCTATCCTCCCGTCCATTTTATGGGTTATATATGTGTATTAAACGTGGAAGCGCCAGTCAGGGCGGCCATTTGCCATGGCAGCGAGTGTGAAACATTCTTGCCGAATTCACATTACAATTACTTTTAATAACTCCCCCTATAATTACCTTGACATTATTGTCTGTTAGTTCTCGCGCATAAATATAAAGTAGCTTCGTCGCACATCGTTTGTATTTCTTCCAAGCTCCGTCTCGAGGCTTTTTTCAGACTTTTCTTCAAGCACTGAGCGAGAAAAGAAGCGAGCCATGAATAGAGAGACGCAGTTTCGTGGACGCTGTCACGACCTACCAAAATTTACGCTCCGCAGAATCTCGGCTGAGGGCGTGTGCCATAACATCTGTTACCCGAAGCGATTCAAGAGTTTCATGGCTCACGCCGCAGCTGCAGAAACTGGCCAATATCGGAGAAACGTGGTCCCCCCATCGCCTCTCTGAGTTGTTGTGCTGGCACAGTGATGGCAATTCATATTGCCGAAAGGCGCACTAGTATGACCCTAAAGACAACCAGATTTGGCG